TCAGGTATGATAATGAAATTAATGCTTTGTTGGCCACACATGGGTCCTCTCCTATTATCAATATAAGCTTCGGTACATTTTTTTTCTGGCTTTATCTACTATAAAGTACCCACCTTAGGCAAATACCTCCAAGAACACCTCCCTGATAAGTCCACTGGTAGAATTGTGTATGAATCTAATCTGAATGAATATTGTATAGATATAAAAATAAATAATGAAAAACTAAGAAAAACACCTGTATATAATGGCAAAAGGCTTGCAGCAGCCTGTCCTATCTGTCATAGTATATCTTGTCCTCGGACTCACCAGCCATGCTCTTATGGCTGGATGTCTGTGAAACAAAACAAAAAAATCAATGATTCCCCATTTCAGAAATTATTGGAATCACTTGGTGGTTAAATATGTCTGTAACTACTCCACCATCCTTGTGTCCTGGACGCTTGTGGGAAGCCCTATGGAATACTCAAACTCTAGCTCATTTGGGGGTCATCTCCACCCATTTAACTATGGCATAAGAAACTCAACATTTTTGAGTCCACTCAATACACCCTAACTGCTCCCAAGCCATAACGACCCAATAGCAACAACATTCCTGGTGAATCCAACAACATTGGCCCCCTAAAAGAAGCAAAAGGGGAATACTTGGAGGAGTAGAGGCTGGCCTTGGTATCCTGGGACAAGCTGTACTTGCAGCTAATGAAGAACGTCATTCATTAGAAAAAGAGTCTTTATCTCAAAGAGGTCATGTAAAGGGAATGCTGTTTCAGGAAGAAGGAAAAGGGTGGGAAGCAGCATGGAAAGACAATAAAGCCTTAATTCCATGGATAAAACAGACGCAACAGACTATAAAAACTCATGCACAAACCCAACAATGGGAACGTGCCTGTACCCTAACTCAACAGGGCCTATTATCTATGCTAATGCAAATGGAATCTAAAATGGCTATGAAACAATGGCCAACTATAATGACTGCGGAAGCCCAGGCCAGACACTTATGGGACTCGTATGGTTCCCCAGGAATTTGAAAAATCTTCAATGGAAAATGCAATCTACAACATTGTGTCTTAAAAGCCCAGGTGCCTTGGTTAAATCCTAAGCTTAAATTCCCAGTAGTTCAACTGGCTGGCCTAGGGACCATCCTCAATAATACTAACATACTTCCAATGGGAAGTAGATGGGCCATATTCAAAAATAATAAGCAATGGAAACCCATCTCACTGTCTAAGTGTGAAAGTCAGAAAGGTGAATGATTATGCCCCCATTCCATATGGAATACTGAATTCACCCAGTCCTGGCCTATTGTATCTACCCCAACAAATAACAATATATGGTATATGGGAAAGGGGCATTTTTGCTGGGAAGAGTTAAAAAACTCTTCTATTATTCTAAACAATTTTTACTGTAATAACACTAAATTTACATTAAGTAGTACTGAAATATGGTGTAATTCTGAAATTATAGGCAAAATAACTTTGCTGAAATTCATAAAACCTATAATAATGTTAATACTAAAAAACCAATATATTGGAAAATTAAATTTAATCCTCCTCATGAAGTCATTTATATGAAAACTAACTGGATTGGCTCAGTGGATAAAACGTCGGCTTGCAGACTGAAGGGTTCTGGGTTCAATTCTGGTCAGGAGCACATGTCCAGGTCTCTCTCCCTTCCTCTCTGAAATCAATAAAAATATATATTTTTTTAAAAAAGAGAAAGAAATGGGAATAGTCTTTACCAGCACAGCACAACTTAATGGGACCTGGCATACAGGTCCTCATACAAATAAACAAACAATTTTATCATTGGAATCAATAACACCAGTTTCAATAACATCCAAGTGGCCTTTATTAAGTATACTGTACACTTACTATCACTTTTCCTTGAATTGTCTTAAAAATCCACATAAAAATCCTTTGAGGGAGATGTCATCTATTGTACCTCATTTTACAGATGAGTGCAACAAGGTAAAAGAAAGAAAACACAGCTTTTTGGGAGTGAGTCCTCAATGTGAGAATATGCAGAACTCTGAGCTTCAAAGGGCAAGAGAAATTTCAAAACAGCAAGCAGTCAGGACTCCAGAAGAAAGAATGGCAACAGTTTTTCTCAAAATACTGGTTAAAAACAATAGAAAACACTGGTAAATATATGTTACCTAATGCGATGCTTAATATAAATTGTGGAAATTTTGATTCTGGAAATAAAGATTACATTTCCCTCCACAAGCTATTGTTAATTGCTGAGTGGTATTTCTTAAGCAATACAATGTCACATTAGCATTATAAAAAGCAAGTAAGAAGCTCATCTAATTATTGAATCTCTCCATCTAACAGACATGAGACTGAGCCTTGCCTCTGCATCTCACTAGCCTTGTGCCCTCAGAAAAGTTAATTAGCTTCTCTAAATCTCAGCTTCCTCCTCTATAAAAAGGGTGTAATAATGCTTAGTGCCTGGGTTTGTTATGGGAATTGTAAAGCATTTAGCATAGTGTCTGATACATGGAAAATGTACAATAAGCGGTACCTTAAAAAAGTAAGCTGAATCTCACATGCGAAATTCTAAACGTATATAAGTATATAGTGTAAAACAGCAAAGGAACACACAGAGATGACTACATCATAAAAGTTATGCATGATCAAAGACACACTGTAAATTAACATAAGTCTATATATTGTGAAAGTGTGATTTAGCAGGTTTTCTAGGTGTGTGGAAATGATAGCCTCATTTCCACTTAAAGGAGGTTTTCTCAGTCAGTTTGTCCTTTGTATTTTGTATCAAGAAAATGGAAGATATAACAGGAGCACTCAAGGAGTGAGGGTGGGGAGTAATTTTTATGCCTAAGAAGAAAAACTGAAGGGAAACAGTTTCATGAGTTGTTACGCAGAATGGTCTATGAGGACAGAGTTGTTAACTAGCGACCATAAACTCCTAAAGCTGTAGCCTCTGCCTAGAGGCATGCAAGGATGCAGGGCTGACAAATTGTGTGTGGCTGCCTGCCATCTGCCTCAGTTAAGAGCTTCTAATCAGCAGATTACTGTGCGAGATAGCTCATACTGTTAGCTCCACTTAGAAACTGACTTTGAAGCAAGGTCAGGAGAGATGCTAAATTGCATGTACAATAAGTATCTGTCGGTAGCCTTGAATTAAATCACCAAATACATCTGCTTTTCCTCCAGGACTCTGGACATCTTGCTGAAACATGAATTTCCTGTCTTCTTGTACTTCACTTCCATCCCTTCCCATTCCCAACCCCTCCCCCACAACCTCAACCAGGTTCTCAGAGTTCAGGGATTAATTATTCATCTGTTTATTCAGTCTACAAACATAATATGAGTGCTATGTGCCAGAAGTAGGTGCTAGAGATATAAACACGAATCTGACAGAATATTGCTCACATTCTAATTTGGGAAACAGAAACGAAAAAGAATATTCAGCCATAACTTGATACTGCTTTAGTCCTCCGAAAGCACCAAGGCAGAGATGACCACTCTGCTTTGGGAAGATGAGGGAGCTTCTCAAAGTCTGTGATTTGTGGTTTGAGTGTTGAGGATGAGTCTGAGTGCTCAGGGGATGAAGGCAGGGAAGAAATTTACAAGCTAGAAGAAACAAGCTCCATGTGCTTGTGGTTGATGTGTAGACTTTGTGGTGGAGAGGGAGGCTGGCTAGATAGGCTGGAGAGAGACTGTAATAGCAGTAACATGTGAATGTGAAATTGAAAGGTAAAATATATTTCGCAACAGCTCAGAATTTTAGAATTGGAAGGGCTCTTAGTGATCATGTAGATCAACTTCACAGAGGCTTAGGGCAGTTAATGACTTGTTCATGACAGGACCAGAAACAATCTCTGTCAACACTAGGTCTTCTGCTCCTTCCTCAGAAGCCTCCAATCGCTACTGCTAATACCAACCAGGAAAACTGGTGCTATAACTCCTGAAAATTTGGTCTCTCAGAGCTCAGCCTAGAAGTCTAGTATGGAGTCTAGATCTACAGTCCTGTGTCCATTCATTAATGTTATGCTAACTTGACAAATTACATATATATATATACACACACATACTTACATACATATTCTATATAATAAAAACTTAATATGCAAATCGACCTAATGGTGGAATGACCAGTTGCTATGATATGCACTGACCACCAGGGGGCAGACACTCAATGCAGGAGCTGCCCCCTGGTGGTCAGTGCACTCCCACAGGGGGAGTGCTGCTCAACCAGAAGCCGGCTCGCCAGCAGGCTCACGGCTGGCAGTGCAGCGGTTGTGGTGGCAGCCTCTCCCGTCTCTGCGGCAGTGCTAAGGAGCAGCAAGCCCAGCAGTAAGGAGCAGCGAGCAGGCGGGCGGTAAGGAGTGAGGGGTCCTGGACTGTGAGAGGGATGTCCACCGAGGGCTCCTGGACTGCAAGAGGGCACAGGACGGGCTGAGGGACTCCCTCCACCCCCACCCCCCAGTGCACGATTTTGTGCACTGGGCCTCTAGTACATATATATTGTCATCAGACTTCAAAGACTGCCGAAAGGAGAGTATATTTGTTCTCTATTGTTGCTGTAACAAATTACCATAAACTTGGTTGGTTAATACAACACATATTTGCTTTCTTACAGTTCTGGAGGCCTTAAGCCGAAATCAGTTTTACTGGGCTAAAGTCAAGGTGTGGGCAGGATTGGTTCCTTCTACAGGCTCCAGGGGAGAATCCATTCCTTGCCTGTTCTAGCTTCTAGAGGTGGTCTGCATTCCTTGGCTGTGGTTGCATCACTTCCGTCTGTTGCTGTTACCATAATGGCTTTTTTTCTTTGACTTTCTTGCCTCCCTCTTATAAGGACTATTGTGATTACATTTAGAGCCCACTTGGATAATCCAGACTCATCTCCCACCTTAAGATCCTACTTTAATCATATCTGTAAAGTCTCTTTTGCCATATAAGGTAACATTTCTAGATTCTGGGGATTAGCAGATAGATATCTTAGGGGGAAGGAAGGATTCTTCAGTTTACCACGGAGAGCAGTATTCTTTGTCCCCAAATTGGAAGCATGCAGATGACACATACCTGATTGTAGCCGAGGACATGGGAATTCAAGGGTAGATGGGAAGGGCTAGGAGAAGTAATCCTCCTTAGTTACTCAGTCTATGGAGAAACAGGTACCTGAGAATATTCAAGGTGGAATAGATATTAACAATGGCAGATTCACCTCAATCCCTTCACTTTTGAAGTTCTCCCTTGTATTTTTGCAGCTAATATTCCACATGGAAAATACTAAGGATAAGAAGTTAGAATTCCAGCCCAGCTGGTGTGGCTCAGTAGTTGAATGTTGAGCTATGAACCAGAAGGTCATGGTTTGATTCCCAGTTAGGGCACATACCCAGATTGAGGGTTCAATCCCCAGTTGGGCACATGTGGAAGACAACTAATCAATGTTTCTCTCTCCTCACCCCTCTTTCTCTCTAATTCCCACCTTCTCTTTCTCTCTAAGCATGTCCCCACCAGACTTGAAACCAGAGGAGCAGCAGGCAGTGGCAGCTCATCCCAGGCTAACTCTCTGTATCTGTCTGTAAGGCCCCCTTTTATTTTACTTTCTAGTGAGCTAACAACAGCCCACCTTGTCTCACTTCTGTCACTGTGACTTTTACTTCTGAGTTCACTCAGCCCTGTGTGGCTCACTTCTTTCCTATAACTTTTCTGAGAAGCCAAAGCAGCCCCTCGTAGGCTCTCCTGTTTCTTCTTCTACCTTAAGCTCTTCTTTTGTTTCACTGTTCCCAGCTTTAATAAATATACTCTCAAAATCACCTGGATTCTTGTGAGATCTTTCCTGCACAAAGTCAAGGATCCACCCACTACCAGCCAGCTTGAGGCAGACCTGCTCTGGGCCCAGTCCCCAGTCCAGGAACATAATTAGCACCCTCGCTTCACATATTTTCCCCTCAAAACTTTTCTTTTAATTTTTTCTTTATTAATTAAGGAATTACATATGTGTCCTTATTCCCCCCATTGTCCCCCCACGCCCTTCCCGTCAAAACTTTTTCGTAGAGCCTCCAAATGTTACAACTGCAAGTAGCCACAGACACTTAGGGTCATTTGGAGGATAGGAGTGGGGGAACTAGGAGGTGAAAAGGGTATTTTCCAAGGTCAAAGAGAACCTAGTAGAGAATGGTATGGCACAGAGTACAATTTAACTTCCCTTCCTTTTGCTATTTGAAGTTATCTAAAGATTCTTTTTTTTTTTAATTTCAACTGTTTCTATTTTATTTATTTATTTATTTAAATATATTTTATTGATTTTTTAAAAAATATATTTTATTGATTTTTTACAGAGAGGAAGGGAGAGAGATAGAGAGTTAGAAACATCGATGAGAGAGAAACATCGATCAGCTGCCTCCTGCACATCTCCCACTGGGGATGTGCCCGCAACCCAGGTACATGCCCTTGACCGGAATCGAACCTGGGACCCTTCAGTCCGCAGGCCGATGCTCTATCCACTGAGCCAAACCGGTTTCGGCATTTTTATTGATTTTTTACAGAGAGGAAGGGAGAGAGATAGAGAGCTAGAAACATCGAGGAGAGAGAAACATTGATCAGCTGCCTCCTGCACGCCCCCCACTGGGGATGTGCCCGCAACCCAGGTACATGCGCTTGACCGGAATCGAACCTGGGACCTTTCAGTCCGCAGGCCGACGCTCTATCCACTGAGCCAAACCGGTTTCGGCTCTAAAGATTCTTAATGGTCAGAAAAACAATATTTGATTAAATGGGAGGTGAACACACTATTTAAGTGACTTCTACAGATGCTGCTATAAATACGAATTGAATGAAAGTCCTCTAGTAACAAGTCATGTGGTCCTTTAGACCTCTGTCCCTTTAAGCCTGGAGCTAGGAGAACAGTGCTGATTACAGAACCCATTTTAAAGATGAGACCTACTATGCTAAAACTGTTTTAACTGTGGTTGTCCAGAAGGAGCTTAAGTAGCACCTAATATTTTGTGAAGTATGGAAATAATCTTACTTAATTCTAATCTCCAAAAATAGTTACATTAGCCACCAGTCACTTTTAAGGAATTGTGTAAATTTGCACCTTTTTTTTTTACAGCATTAACTAACATTTAAAAATTAAATAACTTAGAAATAGTTACCATTTTCTGCTGAGTTCCTGACTTCCTAGGGGGTGCATAAAAGGGAAGGACAAATAAAAACCAATTCAGCAGGTCAGGGTCTAAAATTAAACCATGAGTAAAATGCAGAGGGTGCAATGTTCATTTTGTTCTGTACTGTGAAGCAGGGCAAGCTGGATGTTTTGTCTGGAGTGATATAAATTATTATATGGAACAGCTTCTTTTCATTGTCTAGGGAAAAAAACAATCATTAAACTTCAGAAGTCAGGTTGAGGAGAGATTCCAACATAATCCATTAAGTTTATGTATTCCAGGAGTTAAGTATAAACATTACGATTTAATACAGCTTCAATTATAGTCTCAATGTGGTGTTAAAAACTACTCTTTTCTCCTAGACTTTCCTGGTATACAGAGATGTGCTTATCTAAAGTACCTGCTCTTAATGAAGAACACCCTATGAACATCTCTCCATTCAGAATATCCGTGAGTATGATGTGTAAAGAAAATAGTTATTGCCCTGGCCAGTGTAGTTCAGTTGGTTCAGCGTTGTCCAGTGCACCAAAAGGTCGCTGGTTCAATCGCTGGTCAGGGCACATGCCCAGGATGCAGGTTCAATCCCCAGTCTCGGTTCATGTGGGAGGCAACCGATTGATGTTTCTCTCTCCTTCCCTTCTTCTCTCTAAAAATCAATAAAAACATTAAAAAAAGTTAGTGCACATTTCAAATTGTTTCTTCAGCATCATAAGCACATGCAATATATGGCCATAGACAGTATCCTAGTTCAAAAACAAAAACCAAACATAAAAAAACCCAACTCCTAGCTATAAAAGATATTCGTGGGACAATCATAGAAACTTGCACGTGTACTGAACATTAAATGACATCAGGAAATTGCTTTCTTAGGTGTGATAATATTATTGTGATTCTGAAGCAAATGTCCTTATTCTTAGGAGAGGCAGGCTCAAGTGTTTAGAGGTGAAGTATTTTGATGCCTGTAACTTATTCAAATGGTATACAAAAAGGCATATCTATTTTTGAAAATTTTCATAATAAAGAATTGTGGGAGGAAACCAAGATGGTGGCATAGGTAAACACCGGAGATTGCTGCCTCGCACAATTACTTCAAAAATACAACTAAAAGACGGAACAGACATCATCCAGAACCACAGGAAGGCTGGCTGAGTGGAAATTCTACAACTAGAAGGAAAGAGAAAAGCATACTGAGACTCAGAGGGGGTGCGGTGCGGAAGTAAAATACAAAGGTGCGGAGGAGCATGTGGAGAGGACTGGCGGCTGAAGACACGATTGTCTTTTTCAATCGGGAGGGAGTCTCAGGCTCTGAGCTCCAGTTCCGGGCGAGTCTCTGGGGACCCAGACTCATACGGGAGAAACGGGACTGTCTGGCATCGGTCGAAACTCAAGGGCAGCTTTCTCTCCAAGGCGCTCACAGCTATTGCCAGGGCCTCTGAGGGCAGGACTGAGAGCAGCCATACTGCTCGCTCTGCACGCCCTGTTGATCCCCTGGGGCCCCGCCCCACCAAAGCCATGCAAGGAGGCTTTTGCATATGAAAGGCCCGGCCCTTTGTAATCTGAAAATTACTTAACAAATTGAAGCTGGCCCAAGGCCCCAGGGCAACTTGCATTGCTTTACAGCTGGCTTCTGCTGGGTAGCCTCAGGCAGAGGCTAGATTAGCACCTCCTTAGATCCAAGAGCTAGTGTACCCAGTGGTCAGAGTGGGACCATCCAATTACAACTCCTCAGATCCATAAGGGACACACTCAGGGGGCAGACTCAGTGAGCACCAAAGCCCCACTGAAGCAAGTCTTGCCCCATAAGGGTGTCTTCAGCACAGAAGTTCTCCCACTGTAGACACAGCTGATTTTCACAGCCAATTGGCCTGGAGGTCAATTCCTCCCAGTGTTACCTACAACAATCAAGGCTTAACTACAACAAGACTGTGCACAAAGCCCACAAGGGGGTGCACCAAGAGTGTCCTCCTCAGGTAATTGGGGAGGCTGAGCCACTGGGCCCTATAGGACACCTAGCACAGAAAGCCACTCTGTCGACACAGCGAAGCATAAAAAATGCCGAGACAAAGAAACAGGACACAAATGACAGAAATGGAGGAAAGCAAACTACTGGATATAGAGTTCAAAACCACACTTTTAAGGTTTTTCAAGAATTTTCTAGAAACCGCCAATAAACTTAATGAGACCCTCAAGAAATCTAGTGAGACCCTCGATGTTGTGATAAAGGACCAACTAGAAATTAAGCATACACTGACTGAAATAAAGAATATTATACAGACTCCCAACAGCAGACCAGAGGATCGCAAGAATCAAACCAAAGATTTGAAATACGAAGAGGCAAAAAACACCCAACTGGAAAAGCAAAATGAAAAAAGAATCCAAAAATACAAAGATAGTGTAAGGAGCCTCTGGGACAGCTTCAAGCGTACCAACATCCGAATTATAGGGGTGCCAGAAGAAGAGAGAGAGCTAGATATTGAAAACCTATTTGAAGAAATAACGACAGAAAACTTCCCCTACCTGGTGAAAGAAATAGACTTACAAGTCCAGGAAGCGCAGAGAACCCCAAACAAAAGGAATCCAAAGAGACCACACCAAGACACATCATAATTAAAATGCCAAGAGCAAAAGACAAAGAGAGAATCTTAAAAGCAGCAAGAGAAAGACAGTTAATTACCTACAAGGGAGTACCCATACGACTGTCAGCTGATTTCTCAACAGAAACTTTGCAGGCCAGAAGGGAGTGGCAAGAAATATTCAAAGTGATGAATAGCAAGAACCTACAACCAAGATTACTTTATCCAGCAAAGCTATCATTCAGAATTAAAGGTCAGATAAAGAGCTTCACAGATAAGAAAAAGCTAAAGGAGTTCATCACCACCAAACCAGTATTATATGAAATGCTGAAAGGTATCCTTTAAGAAGAGGAGGAAGAAGAAAAAGGTAAAGATACAAATTATGAACAACAAATACATATCTATCAACAAGTGAATCGAAAAATCAAGTGAATAAATAATCTGATGATCAAAATAAACTGGTGAATATAATAGAATCAGGGGCATAGAAAGGGAGTGGACTGACTATTCTTGGGGGGGGAAAGGGGTGTGGGGGGTGCGGGAAGAGACTGGACAATAATTGTGCACCTATGGATGAGGACAATGGGGGTGGTGAGGACAGAGGGGGGGGTGGGAACCGGGTGGAGGGGAGCTATGGGGGGAAAAAGAGGAACAACTGTAATAATCTGAACAATAAAGATTTAATTAAAAAAAAAAAGAATTGTGGTGAGGGGAACAATTAAAAAGTTCCTTAGCCAAGTAACATCCTACCCTTTGGTTTGCAGCGCTGTTTTGTTTTGATTGCTGTGGCACCGCAGGTACCATTGAGCAGAGCATCTCTGCCCCACGCAGGCGCAGGCAGCTCCTAATCCCACTTAAGTCCCTGGGATTCAGCAACAACCGCTCGCTCTCCCGAGGGGGAAAGGCGCACACCAAGCAGAGTCTTTTTTATATTTCTACGGTCTTACACACGCGTGCACTTTCAAAACGCAAATTAGTTTGCTTTGCCTTTTCTAGCAGTCATATCTGCATTGTGGGACCCCTATTTCTTTTCTTTTTGCCAATTAGACCCGAGCCCCCGGACAGAGAGCATTTCTTTCTTCTTTTTTAAAAAAAATTTAAATTAACATTATATTCAGAGGGTATTTCTTTCTGGCCAGTGACCACCCTCTGGATGACTTTATAGAGGACTCTTTTTGCCCAACCATCCACTGTTGAATTCTATTCCGGTTTGTTTGTATTTATTTCTTGAAACAGCTAATCTCATCCTGCAGCTAAGGAAGAAAATCCTGGGAGAAGCGCAGAATCACAACTTTATGCTCTTATCATTATCCTGACTTTTAAAAAAGTGAGTATCCTTTTGAAGGTTAATGAGCACACTGCCAAGGCCGTGTTGCCATTCCCGTTCCATCCCCACTTAACCTTCCCGACCCGGCTGGTCTCCGCCCGCGGCCGGCCCGCGGCCCCCGGGTCAAGGCGGCTGCTGCCCCGCGCCCGTCCGCGATGGCCGCCACCATCTCCCCCGGGGTCGGCAGTTGCGGCAGGTGCCCGGGAAGCTTTCGTGGGAACGGAGTTAGCTTCAGGCTCAGGGCTGGGAAACCAGCTCGGACTCAGGGCTCCCGCCGAGCGCGCCCGGGGCGCAGGCGGGTCGGCAGGGGGCCCAGCGCGCCCTCGAGACGCTTCCTGGCCCAAGAGGGCCCGGCGAGGGGGGGCGGGGGAAGCAACATCTGGGCAGGGCCGAGCTGCGACCGGGCCCTGGGAAAGGTTGCCATTATCCCAGATTTCAAGTTAACCGTAAGTGAAGCGACCGGCAAGGGGGATATGGACCGGGCCGGAACTGGGAAGAGAGAAAAGTCTCCGCCCCAGGGTGGTAGAGGGAGCAAAGCGTTCCCGGGGGTTC